CATGCAGTCCACCACAGCTCTGCCAGCCCTGCAGTGCCGTGCACTCCCCCCCACTGGGAAGAGACTCATGCTCCCCAACACCATGACAGGGGCATGACAGGGGCTACAGCGGCAGGACAAGAGCATGGCCAGATGCAAACCAGCAGGGCCCCTTATGTGGGGGCAGGGACAGGTGTTATTTCCCCTCCCTCTGACATCTGGCAGAGGGGGCTTATTCCATTGCTTGCCCCAAGCAGCAGTAGCAGCAGTCAGGTCAGGCAGACCCAGCTGCAGTCCCCTCTGGAGTACCGGGGGAATAACCCCCCTTCCTGCCCCACCTGCCTCAGGGGCCATGGCGGCCCACCTCTGCAGCAGTGAGGGGGGAGACCAGACTCAGGTCCCTGCCAGTGAGACAGAACGGGGGGAAATTAAATCCCTCTCTGGCCAGACCCCTGCCCCTGCCTGTCCATGCTCTGGCTGGGAGGCAGAGGGGTGGGGCCAGCCCTGCTGGGCTGAAGCAGAGAGCCCAGCCCAGAGAGCATGCCGGGCTGCTGGGGGACAGGTTTAAGTTAAATCAGGAAGGGGTCTGGGACAGCCTTTGCGGTTTGAGCCAAATCAGTTAAGTGTGATGCAACATTCAACCAGGTTTATCTCGAACCGGTTTTGGCCATTTTGAAACTGGTTTTTGTACGCAGAATGTCTGCTCAGTTACAGGTTTAAACCAGTTTCTGATCACTTAAACTGATTTATGTGTAATATCTGTCCCTAGCCCTGATCATGTGGGTAAACTTCAAGTAAATGAGGATTCCCATCCATTATCTTCAGCGAATATTGTTCAGTGACTAAGGTTATTCAATTATGAACATCCTATATTCATCTCATTTTTGGATCAGCAGTGTATTGTATTATTTATTATATAATGACCACAGAATTCCGGCCTGAATATAGTAGTCTAGAAAGTGAAAATGGTTTCAAATACATGCTATTGTAGACCCTCAACACATAATAAGGATATCCAGTCCTTTGAACTTTTAAATTTACTTCAGAGCACACCTGATTAGTGATTCAAAGGAAGTTAGGAAATCTAAACTATGAACTTTGGAATTGTTAAAAAAAAATCTCCAATTAGAGAGAGAGACACACAGGAAGGCTTGCATGGAAGGTTTTTTTCATTTTAGACTCCAGAAGCTGTGGGGTAAGGGGTACTCTGGGGACAGACTAAGCTAGGGATGGAGTAAAACTTTTTGTTAAATGCTTTTCTAAATCAAGGTCTAAAATATTTCCCAAGTCTACAACTTTTGTAACGATATTTTTCAGTTCTTTAGTCTCACCCTATTTTGAAACAAACTTACCAGATATATTTAATAACATGCATAAATAAAACTGCTGGCCAAATCACTGTACAACAGGTTTGGGGGGGGGTTTAAGTTGCTCATCACTTTTCCTTACCTAGATCCACAAATCCAATATCCACATACAGTCTGGCACACAGTGATCCCAACAGGAAACCAAGCATTGGACCAATCATTGCTATTGTGTGCAAAATTGCTGAAAAGATAATGAAGCAGTTGACTGGCACATGTCACAGGTTTACAGCCCTACATGTCTTCCATTTGTTCTTCCTATGCTCATTTTAGAACTGTGGTATTCAAGGAAATGCAAAGACAAACTTCTTGCTATGTCATGCAACTGTTTGATTTTTTTCCCCTTCTACTTTGGTTTTAAAGGAGTCTTGAGGGTTTAGGCAGACAAATGAGTTACTGCAAGATAAACTAAGGTGCAAGCGTACAGTGTGTCAGTTACGCCAGGGTAACTGCCCTTGCATGCACTCTTACCACAAGGTGAATGCTAAGTAGCTTGTTTGCCACAGAAGTGGGGGAAACTGCTTTGCATTTTTAGCAATGTAAGTTCACGCTTACCTCACAGTAACGTGCTCATTTGCTTATACCCTTAGCCAGTACTATGGTTGATTTATTTACTATTTTGTTGATTCATTTATATTTCCTTAGTTCCCATTCCAGAATTTAAGTGATAAAATTAAACTACTCACATAAATCTAAAGCTGTACTCTTTAAGCAGGTAGAATGAACCAAAAGTCTGGTGGTTAAAAAAAAAAAAAAAAAAAGGGTACATGGAAATTAATACAGCCAGGAGATTTTTTCTGGTGAACAGCAACTGGCTAGGAATTTAGGCTACAGTTTTTTTAAAGAATCCTTAAGATGTGTATAGTCAGTCACTGGATTTGGGTTCATAAATCCATTTGATTCCCTGATAATCACAGCCTAAAATGGTTGCAGTTTTATTATAATATTATACTCTTCAAAGACTGCAGCAGAAAAGGATAAGGTAGAACAGCTCTAAGGTAGAACAAATTTGATTATATCACTGTTTCTTTCTAATCCAACCTTTTACATCTATCTCAACCTTTTAAATCTATTTTAAGATTACCAATGTATAAAGGAGCATCCTCTTCTTTAGCAAAATCATCAAGGTAAGAAATTCCCAGTGGTGCTATTGGTGTTTCCCCAATTCCACGTAACATGTTTCCCAGGAAGACGTAAATCCACATGTATGATGATGCTTCTTTTTTACAACCTGTGAATAATGATATCTCTATAATAGACAGCAAACCACAAATATAACTTATTTTAACAAACATGCTCTTTCATGCCTCAGCTACATAAGATGAGGACTATATATTCATTACTGAACTCATAAACCCTGTGGTAATCTTCTTCTTCCTTTAAGAATACTCCTATATGGAACCAAATCTTTGGCATCCTTATGTGGATCATTAAGGAAGCATATCTAGATAAAAAATAACAGATTAATATTGTTATGGGCATACTCTCTAACAGTGATTCTTGACCAGGATGCCATGGCCATGTCATGCAACTCTTAGGTATGCAAACCTACATGTGATTCACAAGAGAAACCCAAAGATTTTAGACAGGAACAATACTAAAACCATTCTGACTGTTGTGGCCTTTCTAAGTTCTTTACACAGAAAAATTACTCTGTTATTTTTCTAGTCAATAAAAGAGTGAAATCTAAGTGGTGATATTGTCTGAGGGGTGCCTTGAGTCTAATGAGAAGGGCGCCTGCAGTTTCAAAAGATTGAGGACCACTGCTCTAATATTTATTTTACACCTTCAACTACATGTCCCCCAACCAAAGGTAACAGGTAGCTGGTGGAGCTTATATGAGCGTCTCTGTTTCCATGTAACAATATACAGCACATTGTGTGATAGATGCATTCTAGACCAGGGGTCAGCAACCTCTGGCAAACGTGCCAAGCATGGCATGCAAGGCCATTTTGCTTGGCACGCCACGGCCAGCACTGGCTCCAGGTAGCTGCTGCCAGCGACGAAGCCCGAGCTGCTCCCAGCAGGGTTTGCAGCATCCCAACTGCCTGCTGGGAGCAGCCTGCAATCCCGACTGGCGGCAGCTCCCCAGAGCTGGGGCCGGCTGCAGCCAGGAGGCTCCAAACAGCTGTGCCAGGCTCCAGCATCAGCTCTGTACCGGTGCGTGCACCCACGCGTCAGAGCGGGCAGTGGGGGAGGGGTCTGAGGCAGCGCAGCCCCTGTCTCTCCCCCGCTCCCAGCACAAAGCTGATGGCGGGGCTCCGGAGCCCGGCGCAGCTGTTTGTAGCCAGCCTGGGCTCTGGGCAGCTACAGCAAGCAGCGGGCAGGCTGCAAACAGCTGCGCCGTGCTCCACAGCTCTGGCATCAGCTCCATGCTGGCGGCGACTGCGTGCGCACCTCAAAGTGGACAGCGGGGCAGCACAGCTCGCCCCAAGGTGCCCGTGCAGTTGCAAGGGACAGTAGAGCTGGGGGGCAAGGGGCAGTAGGGCTGTGGGGCTAGGGGCTTTGGGTGAGGGGCACAGGGCAGCAGGGCTAGGGGACAGGAGGTTTGGGTGGGGGGCAAAGGGCACAAGCAGGGCATCCTGCC